TGCCAATTTTTAAGAAAACAATATAATAAGTATACCAATGTCTATTTTATATTCTTCTCCAGATGGTTTGCAGGTTTGAAGTGTTGTTTGCTCCWTGGCAAAAGAATCCTGAAGATCTTCTTAGCCATGACTGTGTTGGKCTGAATGAGAAGAGAAAACTCTCTTGCCATCAAGATGTACCTATGAATGATGAAGAAAACATGGTTAAGCATGTGGAAGTTAAGGTTAATAATTAATGCAATAACTGGACATAAATATTAAAGTTTTTTTTATAGGTTTCCTGTGCTTTATTAGTGAAATCTATTTTGTTGTGTTGTGTAAAACATTATCATTTAATCACAGAAGATTGATGTGTATTACATTACATAATTATAGGTTACATTTGGTATCTTGACGAGGTCAATTGTAGCAACCCCCCTCTGGGATTAAGTTTCACATGTGACTAAAACCTCACTGTCCCTACATGCTTGTGTGGGACACTTCTGTCCAASTAAACTAAAGTTGTATGTATTTTACACCAACTCCCACATCCACCACTGTAGATATATGGTGTTCTTTTAGTTCTCACCTTAACCAGAAAATCAAATCTAGTTCATTTTGTAGTAATATCAAATTGAAATTTCTTTAATAAATTGGATTGAAAAGTGCTCATGATAGTTTATTTTTTTATCTTGATTTTGAAAGTCTATGACCTTATGGACTTCCTGTACCCTGAATGCTCTTGTAAATTTTACATATTACTCRGTCATCCCTAGCAACATAAATCAAACAGAAATCTGGAATACCATATACCCAATATATGCGAGGGACACTATATATGGCTCCTCAGGTTTCAGCGTCAGTGTCAAAATCATTTGTATCTGTAACATACAGGAGGACAGCAAAGTGAAAGATGAGGAAAAACAGTCATCAAAAGATACTGAACTTGAGCAACGAAGGCAATTTCATGATTTTATGAAGAAGTATAAAAAATTGTACAAGCCATCAGAAAAAGGTGAGRCATACATTATCACTATCAGCAACCTATTTATTACATTGTGGTGAGCAAATATATGAGATATTTCTTTATTGCAATTCAGAGTATGAATACCGGTTCAAGGTCTTCCAGGAGAATCTGGTGAAAGCCAAGAARATGCAAGAGATGGACATGGGCACAGCCAAGTATGGTGTYACTCAGTTTAGTGACCTTTCTTGTAAGTCTTTCAAAATGGTTATAAATATACAGTGCTACATGTATCTCTTTTATGCCAAATTCACTTGTGATTTTTGCTACTGTTCAACTCCAACCTTATATCTAAACAGACCTTCAAACTGCAAAAAATCGTAGGTGTAAATGGGACTTAACAATGTAATGAAGAATCCCAACCTCTCTATCTACCCTCTATYAGTCCTCCATTTATTGAACAACGTATATTAAACAGCCATACTTATTAATGCTCTGTATTTCTCACTGTAGATGAAGAATTTAAGAGCATGTATGCAATGCCTGGATGGGGGAAACCTGAAGAAGAATTGAAACAGGCTGATATCCCTACTGGAGACATTCCAGACAGTTTTGATTGGAGAACTAAAGGTAGGAAAAGTTGTACAGAGAAACACAAGATACAAAAACCTTAAACTTGACATGTACATGTAACATTACTACAGTTCAAGTATTTGTAGTGTATGTTTCTCATCTTTTCATAAGTTTTTTATGGTTTTAATCATTTCAGGAGCTGTAACTCCTGTAAAAAATCAGGGCCAGTGTGGATCATGCTGGGCTTTCTCAACAACTGGAAATGTTGAGGGACAATGGGCCATCAAGAAARGAAAGCTGATTTCACTTAGTGAACAAGGTCAGCAAAAATGGAATATACCTATAAATTGTGCTAGATACATTTATGAATTATTTTTGTCATTGGAATACAAGGAAACAGTAGATGATGTTTTTAATAKAAATTATTTTTGTCACAGAGCTGRTAGATTGTGATAAAGTGGATTCTGGTTGTGAAGGTGGGCTGCCTGCAAATGCCTACAAGCAAATTGAGAAACTTGGTAAGCAGCCCGAGGCCCAGGCAAATAAAAAATGCTGAATCATGCAACACCAYTGTGATTAATAGTGTCGAATGTTGTTGGATGGACGGCATCAACCATGTTGGTTGAAGTTTGAAGGTCATCAAATWTTTCATAACACACCATTCAATAATTTCTTTTATTTGATGTGCAATGTTTTGTTATATATTATAATGTGTACATGCAATAATGATTGTCCTATTTTCTTAGGCGGGCTTGAAACGGAGCAAGAATACCCATACAGTGCTAGGGATGGACAATGTAAGTTTGAAAAATCAGATGTCAAAGTGAAAATCAATGGATCWGTCGCCATCTCAAGTAATGAAGGCGGTAAGTCAGCTACATTCTATAAAATGCAGTAGAATGCTGAAATAAACAAGAATATGTCCTGTTTGTTGTGTAGAATACAATAATAAAATATTGCTCATGGGTTTTTAGACATGGCTGCCTGGCTTGCCAAGAATGGACCTATTTCTATTGGAATCAATGCAATGGCAATGCAGGTTAGGCAACCTTGCGGCAGTATCACTAAAAAATGCTTCCCCCATCATGAAAGTAGCAACAACAGGAACATCAYTGACAACAAACTTTTAACAATGACAAAAAGTCACTCCTAAGAAACAGCATAGCAAAAACAACAGCAATATTTAATAGAAGCAATATTAAAACAATAGTAGAAGCAGCAACTGCAGCAACATTATCAATATCAACAACATTTTATTAACAACTTCATTTCTTGTYGGCAGTTCTACATGGGAGGTGTAGCTCATCCATGGAAGATATTCTGCAACCCCTCAAGTCTTGACCATGGTGTTCTGATCGTTGGCTATGGAGTCAGTAAGTATCATCTTTTCCAAACTTTTGTGAAATAATTTAGCTTAGCTACAGTGAATCTTAYATAGGTACCAAAGCAGCTGGCTCAAAGTGGCTGTAGCGAACTGGTGTCTGATAGACATGTGGATTACATAATATTATGACCAAAACATGTGATCATTGAATTAAAATGTACATGTACCACAAAATTACATTATAAAATAACTTTCATATTACTGTATGCGCGCTCTGATTGGCCAAAAAGCCGTGTTTGATGAGAGCATAATACACGCCCGCKACATTTTTTTCTCAGCTTTTTTTMTCATGAATATTTGAGCGCTTGTTATTTTCGCGTCATGGTTTCCTACGCTTCTCTCGTGTTCTCCCCACATCCCGTGTGTTTTTATCAGAGTATAATACAYGGAAAACTGTTTTTTATTCCTTAAATAAATGCCTTTGTAACTCAAATTTCCYAAATTTAAATGGGTTTTAGACCAAGAAATCACATAAAATGAGTTGTRCAAAATTTTGYTGGAGAACYAAGAAACCTTACATCAARTTATCATGATTTTATCTTGTAGAAAATGGATGGTTTGGTAAAACTCCATACTGGATTATTAAGAACAGTTGGGGAGCAAGCTGGGGAGTACAGGTAAGATGTACTTCAACAACAATAGCCACAACAACAACAATAACAACAGAAGCAGTTAGACTGCTTTTGTGGACAAACAATTCGTTGACCATTATTTAACTCATTGCATTTTATACTCAATTTTTAAAAGCATGATCTATTTATATGTGCCAATTATGACCACAGTTCACACTACCACATAAGCAGATAAAGTAGACAAATTGGAAAACATAAGCAGAAATACAAAACAAAAATGAAAATATTCCCATTTTCTTATATATTTACTTCTTCTCTTCATTATATTATTGTGAACTGACATAACAGATGCTTATGTCAAGTGTGAAGTGCAGCTTGTGCTTCTGTTTCTGCTTATGTTACAGTGTGAACCAGTCCTAAATAGTAGTTTCTATTTCACAGTCCAAAGAAAATGACACTAAGGTTTGAAATTGTACATCAATGTGATGATTGTTGTGTTTATTCTAGGGGTACTACCTTATTTACCGTGGTGATGGATCATGTGGTCTCAACACTGCTTGCACGTCAGCTGTAGTAGACTAGTTGCACAGCTCAAAAAGCCGCTCAATTTTAATCACAAATTTTTATAAAAAAAAACACCAAAATATATGCAGCCAACCACCACATGCCAGTTGTATGTAGGGTTGATGTCATCCAATTCATAGATTTTGTATGGTTATATACACTAGATAAGGATTTTATCTGGTGGATTGTGTTATTCAACATTCATACGACTGGACCCAGAGTTTTGTCACATATAACGTTAATATTTTGCAAGAAATGAATTTATCGATTTACTTTTTTTACAATTTTTACTTGAGTGATCCATTTTTTATCTTTTATTGAGTTCATTTTACATTTCAAGTGTTGTATATTCATATAACATGTTTATGCAAGTACCAAATGTATTTTTCATAATTTGATTTTATAAGAAAATTTGCATGCATTGGGTGACTAGACTGCGAAAACTTTTTAGCAATTATTTGTAAATTTTACATTTTTTTAATACCTCTCCAAAATTATAGAATTTTTAGCTATGCAGCACTATAAATACTATATCAATACATATTAAAGTTTATGGTCKGAAATGTATGGAATCCAATTTTTATCTTCTGTATTAAGATACCTCTGTATTACGACCACTCCTATAATCTAGCCTGTGTTATATCCGGAATTTCTGTCTAGAAATTAGACACAGAAATTCCGGATGTAACACAGGCTACTATAATCCGACCACTCTGAAACTCTGAAACTGTCATTGCCGTAGTTCAAAGTCTTTAAAACATATCTTTGTTGAAAATAATCCATGGATCTCGAATACATTTATAATCCGAACTAAGAAAACTGCGYCCGTAGTTGAGGGGTCTGTAAGTTCGAYTCCTGTTTTTATATAGTTCTTTGAACCGTAAATTCGCGTTTCTCTTTGTTAAAGTTTCGCTGTTAAAGAGTTCTTTTGACCTGTTTGAAAGGTTATACTGAAAACAATAACCAACCAGGTGTTGTTGATATACAACCAAAACTATCGAATTTACACACTTAAATACAATGTTTCGAGTGTATACTATAATATATTTAAAAAAATTATAAAATGTCCTTAATTCTTCATTTAACTTTCTAATGTTTATTTCAATTTTAAGTCGTTTAAGCTAATTCGTTACAGCAGCTACCTGAGTTTATAAAATGAGTTTGTAAACATTTTGGTCAAGTACGGAACCCGCTAAACGAGAGTGCGAGGTTTCACAGGTACTTCAAACCAATAACSTACCTCATAGACGAAATTACTAAAGAAACCAACAAAGAAGTGGAGTCCTTTTGCATCTGAYTTTGTWAGTGGGGTTCGTCGGTAAGTATGTCCATCAGAGTTTTTATATAATTTAATACTACCTGGACTTCCTTGCGATTAAAGTGGATTGAAAAATTTSCGATTAATGTTTTGAATAAAAATCAAAAATTTGTTTTGGAAAGAAAATTTTCCGATATTTTGAAATGAGTTTGTGGACTTAAATCGACAGTGTAAGGCAGATATATTACATTTTATAATGTTGAAATACACTTTTGAATGTGTGTCGAGGRTGTAACTACTAACTGGACAACGCCCTGCTATAGATCCTCATTTCACTTTAAGTTGATCCAATCTCGTATTAACGGTTTTAAGTTTGAAATTTTATTTGAAAACCAACCAAAGAATTCACTAGTTAGGTYCCTTCTGAAACTGTAAAATAACTTGAAAAAGAACATAATGGGCGTTTTGCAAGATCTTAATTTGTAGAAAGCCGCCGGTTGTAGATTTCTAGGGGAGAATGATCAATTGATAAACGATGAGCTTTTGAATAGTTATAATATCAATYGTATAGTTAAGTACTATTTATTTTCTATACTCTCTAAATGTCATCTTACACTACTGGCTACGTTTTTGGTAGCCTTGCCATTTGACGATGCTATATTAAAAAAAGCAACATTCGTTATTATTTATAAACTTCCAGCAGGTTGAAGATGAAAATATTTGAAAGCTGGTATTTCAATCAAATCACTGAAAAAAAAAAAAACATCAAAAAGCCCAAATTGTTACCAATTTTATAAGTGAGAGTTTGGAGTTCTATCATTCGAACTTTAAGTCATGTTTTTTTCAACTTCAGATTATCCAAAATGGAATCGACACTATTAATTGTCCTTGGGCTAATATTTACAGTTATTGGTAAGTTTGCCCATTGTGTGTGTGAAGGGGGTTGATATGTACAGTTATTGGTAAGTTTGCCC